CGAGTCTGGGATATCATCCCATCTGCCGGTCGGTCTGTCAGCTTTCGAGGTCAGGCTTTGGTGCTTCAGTCTCAAATTCCCACATTCGACAACAGCAGCCGAGCGTCCTTCTCTCACCTCTCGGCACGGGACGGGATGCGCGTCCAAGACTTCTACGTCCTTCTTTTATCGGCAATCATAAGCGGTAGACTCTTCGCTGAGTCTGAGTACCTGCCAGATGTAGAGGAGACTACAACAACAATAGGCGCGAGCCCAGCTTCGGTCCCTACATCGGTTTCGCCTACTGCGACATCTATCGCTGGCGTGGGCGGCATTGAGTAACTTCCCAATTTAGAGGATTGTGATGTGACAGGGTACTAACGGTTGCATAGGCTTCGTCAAGGACCCGGCATTGCTCCAGTCGAGGGCGCACCTGCGCCTGTTCAGCAACCACCAGCCATAATTACAGCGATACCAGCTGCAGAACCTGCCCCAGCTCTTCCTGTCGATCCTGCACTTCCGATGCCTGCATTACCTGCGCCTGTAGCTATACCTGTTCCCGCTGTTGATCCTGTCGTCAATCCTATACCACCACCAGCTCTTGCGCCTCCTGTCAATGCCATCGCGCCGGCAGCTCCACCCATCAATGTTGCCGGAACTGCAGGTGCAGATGTTACGCGATTGGCGAAACCATTCAGCAACGTACCCTTCTACACCGTGGTGTGGGCCGAGACATGGATCGGAGGGACATATTCCACTTGGTGGCCATACACTATATCGCTGGATTTCAAGCCTCTTCAGACGAACGCCCCACTTCCAGGGTCAGGATCGATCGGTATGGGTACGCTCACTGGTAAGACAGGAGTGACGCGGACGATCGTGGTGAACGCTGCACCTACACAAGGAGTAGGCTGGGCCAAGGGCCTTGCTGCAGCTGTTGGAGTTGGCATAGCGGGCATGGCTGTATGATGACAAGTGATGTGCAGATGAGGGGCCTGATAATTTATGGAAGAAAGAGTTAGATTTCATTCCAGCTGCAGATTTGGATCTGGACATACTAGTTGTCATATATGGCACTTAAACGACTTACGATGCATGTATATTACGCGAAGTATGATAGCAACGGTCAGCAAGACAAGAAGTAATGGGAGACGAATGTTAGATAAGAACTAAAAGCTGCAAAGCCAGTGCGAAGAACCCCTTCATCCTAAGAACAAGAAGACAATGGAATTATGAGGATATGGTTTATATGGATGTCATCCAGCACCACCAAAGCCGGTCATCTCCGAGCTCGCTATACGTTTTCCAAGTTGTTGTCTTGATCGTCCCTTATCCTACCTCCCTCTTACGCCCTTGAATGTTTCATGACCAACCTAGTCGTTGCATGCATGGCGGCCCTGGGCGGTGAAGAAGCTCACGTCGGAGTGTTTTCCTCCAGCATTGCAGGGCTTGTCGTCCTCAAACAGCGGCGCGACGTTCAAGCAAGATCTGGTGCAGCCGCCATTGTTATCCTAACATTTTGGTCAGTCCCGTGTCTCTCTCCCTAAGGAGTTCGAGGCACGTACAGCGACACAGCAATGGGAGCCGTCCTGGTACAAGCACTGGCAGTAGATAGAAGCCTGGGTACCAACGGCCATGGTAAGGAGGAGGCCGAAGACGGCGGAGAGGCGGACCATCTTGACGTTGGTCTGGAAGAAGATGGAGATAGGTTGGTACGAAGTGGAGTAGGTGAACGAAGAGGGCGGGCCTATGTGCTATATATACTTCACGATGTCTAGGGTCTAGAGATACGCGCTGTCTTGTTGGCTTCCGGACGAATGCCTCGGGCTCTCTCACAGGTGACTGCGGTGGAATCGAGAGTGACAATTATCGCCATTGTTTCCCTGCTACTTTGAGGGCCGAACAAAATACGACCTCAGGGGTGTTCTGATAGACCAAGCTATGCGATGAACACGGTACTTACCTATGAAGCGCAAGTACACCTCGTATATCTTAACCACGTGTTGAAGACCAAGTCCTATCTTGGCTTAGAAAGACAAGCTCCGCTAAGCTAAGAGGTCCAGTGCTTGGGCCACTGTTAATGGCCACCGAAGTATCGTCGAGAGGTGTACCGATGAGGCTTTAGATCCTCTCGATTAGTTACAATTTGCGGTGTGTAAAGAACAGTTGGGGAAGGAAGCCGAGATTGGTACCTGGTTGAGCAGGTAGTAAAAGGTCCGAAAGAGATACACGAGAAGGTCCGAAAACAGACTAATCAATCCGCTTTACCCATGTTGCTATCACGATACTAACGAAATGCTTCGCCTTCAGGATAATGTGATAGATACAGGAGAACATGTTAAAAAGGCAGGTGATTTCGCCTCTGCAGTGAGGATATCACAGCGACCAGCAATACTTCCCTCACTACTTCAACACCCAACTCTACTTCAACTTACCCTCTCTTCTCAATTCGTCATCATGGTCCGCCTTCTCTCCGTCGCCGCGGTCTTCTTCACGATCGTGTTCGGAGCTCAAGCTTCCCACATCTGCCAATGTCTCTTTCAGGATGGCTCGCACTGCTGCGCCAGTGTCGTAAGTCTCTCAAAGTTCTTGGATATGAAAAGTGAGCTAATTGCGGCCTCGCTCCTTTACAGAACAACTTTGGTGCTGCGGAAGACTGCCAGGTTGTCTGCGTGGATAAGAAGCGTAACAAGGATGGCGCAGCCTGCAACGCTGGCGGCAAATGGTCCAGCGTTGGCGGCTTCACCGTTCAGTTCCGCGAGCCATGCCAGTAAGGCGTCTCTGGCGGAACAACCGTACTTGGCGCCAAATAACAATGCTGTTGGAGGCATGGTGGAGATGTGTGGATCATAATGGGAGACGGCGGCCTGAGCGTGATGGACTGAGAGTGGAGCGTATGGTCCTTGTGGATCGTCCGAGTCGTTTAGGGAGAAGGCCGGCTCTACTAGAATAATATGTCTGTATCGTCAATGTAACACCGTTCTCAACAATTGCAATGCCAACCGCGTGTAGAGATAGGTGTCTGAGCTCAACATGCTAACTTTTCATTGTTTTCACTGTGTTGGTCGATGCCAGTTTTGGAGTAAAGGAGTGATGGGTGATGAGGATACGACACTTTTAGTAATCACGGCGGCGGTTAGTGCCTCCACGTGACGCCTGCTGCGGCGGTAATCCCCCGCGGGCGGGGTTAGCATGCCAACGCGTTGTTCCCACCTGGGCAAGACCGAAGCGCCGACTCAACTTTGCGCTCTGCCTGTGCGATACCCGTACTCTGTATATATGGAGGCATTGGGCAATTGCGTTAGGAAATCCATCGTGCGATGTGTGTAACAGCCATAGAGACAATTATAATGATCTCAGGTCAACAAATGGCGGTGGGGTGATACCCGATGTATGTGGCGCGACTTTCACGCTACTCGCAGACGATCTTGCCCTTTTCGGACCGAGGCTTGGAATGTTAACTTGACCGCGAGCAGACGACGATACTGACGATAAGGTGACTGAGATCAATATCACGTACGAACTGCTTTGTATAAGATTCGGATCAAACCGACAGTGTTGTATAACATAGTTCTAAGCTTATCATCATCGACTGTCGGACCTCCGTCAGCGACAACTCCCCGAGTCAGCATCACCCGATCGGAACAAAGACAAACCAAGATACCAGCAACGAACAGCATACCGTCATAGAATCTTGAAGGAATATATATCGACTGGTAACCAAACGATTTGACCCACCAGGGCTGCAAATTGCGAGTGGTCAACCTCGAAATACATCAACGACGACGGTTCATCACTGCTATCGATCGACCATCTCCAATTCATTGCCAGGCTAGACAAACAAAGGGGCAAAATCATCGACAATGGCAACAGCATACTACTTCGCAGCACATTTCAACATGCCCAGAACGCATGCGACCGATGATGCATGGCCTTTCCCTGCAAGCACGCCGAATACCACCTCGCTATTCTCGTCCGTCCCAGTCACGCACGAATCAGTACAAGCGCAGTATTTTGCCTCAATGGCACCAGAAATAACCACAATGGAAAGGGGCGCAACCAACCCACAGCAAACCTCAATCCTCTTCCGTCTACCGGCAGAACTTCGAAACCAAATCTACGAAGAGCTCCTCTGCCCGAACACACCGCACCACAAAGATCTCGCAACATACTCCACGTCATCTAGACCTCCAGCGGTCTACCCAGCCATCCTCCGGACATGTCGCAAGATCCACGAAGAAGCCCAAGATCTACTATATACAACACACGTGTTCCACGCCCACCGCTCTCTCCTAACCGCCCTACCACATCTGACCTTACCCGAAAAGCCAATCTTGTCTCCAACGAACATCACGAAGATCACGCGCTGGCAGCTTGAACTACGTCTGGATACCGATCCCCGGTTTACCAGTAGTCAAGCTACGGCTGCATTCTCTGGCGCGGAGTTTCTTCAGGTCAAGGTTTGGCAGAGTATGTTTGATGGAGCTGATAATTCGGTCTTGAAGCTGTTCACTGGGGTGAGGGGCGTGGGTGTTGCGAAGGTTACGGGGTGTGATGATGAGGGGTTAGCGAGGTGGTTGGAGAAGAGGATGATGATGCCGGCCGAGGAGGAAGAGAGCAGAGAAGGGGGATGTTGTCAGTGTGGAAAGAAGACAGACGAGGAGATGGAGTGGTTTGGTGTGACTAGAGATGCTTGGACGTTCGGCAACAGATAAGGAGGGGAATAGCGTTGAGTCGACTTTCGATTGCGGAATGGACCAGTTTCCTTTCCCGGAGTTTGTTACGCTGACATCACTCAATCAGATCGATGAATTTAAACTATTGTTGTTTCGAAATGGAATGAATTTAGCTTCAACCTTGCGGGTCTACAGCTTTCACATTGGATGTGACTATCATTCTTTTTGGATGGGTATCAAGTGTTAGAGAAAGTAATCACAAAATAAATTCCAAAGAGTCTTGCTATGATCAGATGAGCAGCATATCGAATGCTGATCCAGAGCCCTACGTTGGATCAAAGTGATCTACCGCAGCTCTTCCCTCTCATCCTCTTCGTCGTCCTCGATCTTGGCGCAAGGGAAAGCGCACTCCATTGATCGTTGCTGCAGATGAGTATTAGCAATAAGATTCTCGTATAAACCCAGAGGAATGACATACCCTGCTTCCATTCCCACTCTCCGCCCAGGAACCGGTGTTACACCACGCTTCGGGGTGCAACTTCTTGCTCCCGCCCTCGGTCGCCCATTTCAGCCCATCGTACTCAAAGACCAGCGCATCTTCTCCATCGGAGCCGTAGATAGTCAACTTGGTGTCATCCACCAGTCCATCGATCTCGAAGATCTGCGTCGCGGAGACTTTCACATACGAGTTGCGCTCCGTCCGGGGTCTCGAAGAAGCGAGATCGATAGTGATTCCGTTCATGTGGTCTTCCAAGCTGTCGACTTGGACGTAGTTGATCTTGCCATCGCTTGTCGAAGCTGGTCGGGCAGCGGTCATGAGTTGCTTGTGGAAGAGGGTGAAGGTGCATTTGTCGACCAGAGATGTAGCGGACGATGACAGCAATGACTGTGCGTCACCGCGGGGGAGAATGCGCGGGGGCTGAGGAGGGAGGACGCGCGCTGCGCATAGTGAAGGCGTGAGGAAGAGAACCGAAGAGAGGATGGCGAAGGTGTTGGTGTGCATCTTGAAGACCTGCTTGCGAATGCTTTTGGTAGTGTTGGGTATTTTTTTCGATGAGAAGAGGAAGTAGATTTGATGACGCAGTCAGTCAAGTAAGGCAAAGACGAGCGGATAACCGGATCCAAGGCCAGCTGAAAGATGCAAGGGAGAGTGAATGCAGGTACAGGACGCGCTGACGAGCAGGTACTCTTGTACCTTATTAAAGCATAGAGAGATTTCGTTTCAGAGTAACTACGCCGGACTACCCGCTCTTCACCCTGTCTATCTGTTCATCGCTACTATATTGGTGTGGCGATCCCGCTTGAGTACTCGGACCATGCGGCGGTTGTGCAAGGCTGATATATGCGGGGTTGCGGCACGGTGGCTCAAATAGAGTGCTCTGGCGGCAACGTCAGCGGCAAGCATCCACCCCGTGCAATGAGGTGCATCATAGAGCCGCAAGGAATGTGGGGGTCTGCAAAGAATATGTATTCATGAGGGCGGCGCGGGTTATTGCGCTGGGCAAGGTTACGTGAGATGGGCGGTGCTCGAGGGTCGAGGGGCCCAGGAAATTGGGAGCGGCGCAATGAAGTCATGATCATCGTAGAGATGGCCTTACCATCCTCAAGGCATGCGCACCTTCGAGATGCTAACAGAGGAAGACGCAGATACGTCACATCCACGCTGGCTTGAGCTCTTGACCTCGGTGTTTCAAGTCTCTGATGTTTCCTATCCACAACGAAGATCCCTTGTTCTTCAAGAGACTGCAACGTTGTTGCCTCCTTGGTCCATTGTCACCGCGCATGAGAGCATCTGTGTATCCACGGCCACACACCTCAGAGCTCAGCAAAGTCAACTTTGTGCGCAAGTGGATGTACCGGCTTGGCCTCCGCGTGCTGAACGCCCTAGTGAGCGCCCTGGAGATTAGCGAAAGAAGGCTGGCAAAGATCCATGGATACCTACGGCTGATGCAAACGAGTCGCTGCGTCGCTTTAAAGGAATCGATATCAGTACGTTTGCCAGTTCGAAGCCTCTGTAATCATCCAGGCGGCAGCCATTGAATGCTGTTGGTAAGATATAGATGCAATACGGCTTTCGAGATAAAGCAAGGAGATTTGGGTTCGCATGGCCTCTTGTCGCAGTGTTGAGCAAGGGTTCAAATATAAGCGAGTGTTGAGGGCAACGTCCGTCTCATATTCGTACTTCTTTTTGACGAAAGCTTGAGTCTTTCAGGCCAGTGAATTTGCGCCCAGGTGCGCAACAGTCGCATGCAAATTCAGGGTCCATGGTGTTGGACGTGCGCAGGGGGAGAAAGGGCAATTTCGGGATGCCGAATCGGTAGTCGTGGGGCCGAGCGTCTCGAAGTCTGACGTTGAGCACACAAGTTGGAATTCGTCATTCTTCTCAACTCACTCACAGCCAAACACCGCCGTCGCAATGTCGCGCCCCTGCCAGCAACGGCGCGCCAGTGCGGCTGCGAACCGGAAATCCAGAGGGTCCAAGCCAACCGGACCGCCCCCGATACGACACAAAGCACGGCAAAAGGCAATACACAACGCTCGACGCAGCGAGCGCGGCGGAGCACGTGGCGGGCGTGGTGGAGGCCGCGGAGGAGGCGGAGGAGGCGGAGGAGGAGGCCGTGGTGGCGCAGGACGGGGTGGGCGAGGCGGAGGACGTGGCGGACGTTTTGCGCAGAAGAATGGCAGGAACGAATCGGGCCAAGACTTCATACCTCTCTCCTCTGGTGGCAACAACTTCGAAGCCCTCTACAGGTCCTCACGCAACGACGACTTTGATCTCGACATGGACGGCGACAGTTCCGACTCAGACCAATTCGGCGATGAGTTGCTCGACGGCGACATGTATGAGGCCGAGGATATCGAGATCAACGTGCAGGCGCCACTGCCCACGACCGGCCGGGGAATACAACCACAAGCGGATATAATGTTTACGGAGGCAGCCGCCGTCGCAGTATACAGGCAGCTCTATCTGCGCGATTACCCACTCAGTACCTCAACCACGCGAGTGCGCTACGGTCTCTACCAGGAGGACACCTCTGCCGATTCGGCCGCATACATCTCCCACGCACCATTCACAGCATCTCGCCGATCGAGCGTCATCAGCATCAGCAGCGACACAAGCGAAGAGTCCACGGATGGACCGACAACACCTGAGTACAATCCGGGACGCGACTACGTCTTCACGTTCGGTATGCACAAGGGCAAGCGGTTCACCGATGTGAACGAAAACTACATCAAAATGATCGGTGGTCAGTTATACAAATACAGGGACAGAAGACATGGGTGCCTTTTGGAGGCATTCGAGTACCACAGGCCGGGGCAGGCACGTCTTCAGCCAGACCACCCTCAAACCCAACAGACACAAGCTCAGCTATCGCAGCCACGACAGCCTCCCACACGGAACGCACAAGGGTCTCGATCGAACGCTCTTTCGGCATCAGACACATGGAGATTCCACAAAGGGATTCACCTGGGCAAGCGACTACACGACGTGCCTGAAAACTACCTACGAACACTAGAGGGCAATCCCCTGGTCAGAGACGCCTGGCCTGGCTTCAAACAAGCACTCCAGGACTTCAATGCCAAGACTGGTAGAAAAGGTCGGGTTTGATCACACAATAGCCGTACAATAGCTGCTACCACGTGGTTGCGCCTTCTACGAGCGTTTGTTGGTGGTCCAAGCGGCAATTTTGGGACTCACCTCACCTGGATGACTTACAACTTGCAGAACCATCGCAACTCACTGCGACTGCGACCTCTTGGTCTGAACTGTCTGAATGCGAGGGCTTTTCCCGTACTACACACTATAACGTCTCACCAATAACGATACTGCACCTCGCTTCACCATGGCGCGAACCAAGAAACGTGCGCGAATGGATCCCGAATTGTCGCAGTCTCAGCCACAGCTTCATACCAAGCGACAGAGGGGACCGAACGCCATGACAGCGCAAGCGGAAGAGGGGGCCGACGACACTACTGCGACAGACGATGTGCGATATATGAGAACGCAGCCAAAGGCCCAGGCACCTACCGAAAGCTCCCGAGCCAAGTCCTTTCCCAGTCAGACGTCTGAAGTCATTGACTTGACGCTGAGCGACGAGCTCGACGATGTATTCCCCGCATATTCGTCCAGGTCAAAAGCTCTCCAGGATCACGCCGAAGAGCAGCGCCACTCAAAGTACGCTCTACAGAACAAGACGACCGGAAAACTTGGCGAGCGCTCTCTAGGTCAATCCAGCGGCGGGCAGGGTACTGAAATCAACGAAGGCGAAGAACGATGGGCCATTCCCTCACTATCTGCAGATGTCCTTGCCCAGCGGCGCCAACAAAAGAAACAGGAGAGGAAGAGGCAGAGGAAGGAGGCGGCCATTGACGTCATAAACGCCCAACGCTCCTATGCGCCGGTCATGTTCACCCTCTCAGAGGCAGTAGCCTTTCTCTGGCAACCCCAGCTAGCGATCACCTACGATCTTCCGACTGGCGACTATGTACCTTGTCAGTAATATTCCTGTACGAATTGTATGTGAGACAAATACTGACTTTCTACACTCATCTTTAGATCCCGTTCATAGGTCATACCACTTGGGCGGTATGGGTCGGTACGAAGATACTCGTGCTGCTATGCATACAAGTCTGCCCTATCGTCCTTCCGGCGCTGGCGGACGCGGCCCTCGTGCGGTTGACCGTAGGTCAGACCGAACAGAGGCTCACGGTCGCTCCGCTTGATCTCAGGGCAACAACACGCGCTGGCCGATTGCGATGAGTAGGAATTGGGTCTTTTTGATTGAATTTTCACCACGGTCGCACTAGGGGAATAAGCATGCTCAACCGCGGGAATCATGACTGCCTTGGTATGACTGCCTTGGGTCTGGACATGATGTGACGCTTCAGAGATGAATTCGATGCTTGGTGGTGGAGAAGCAGCCCCATATATCAGAAAAACAATCTAAAACATACACCTCAATTGAACATACACGTGACGCTTGTTAGAAGTCAATTGAGCCTACGACAGACGGACGGTAGATGCATCAAGGTGCTATCCACCCGACACAGGTCATGGGCCAGCGTATCCAGGGCTCATGCTCCGTTGGCAGAGCTTCGAAGATTCCACTCATAACATGGTGTGTCCACCCTCTCATATACCAGAATCTTTCCATGTCGTGCATCAGAACGACAAAGTGCGCGTAGATGATGAGTGGCAGCGGATCGCATTCTTGGAGGCGATCGAGGAAGTCATCGCTCATTCGGTAGAGCCATCCAAACGCCACATGGTATTCACCGTCCTTGCCACCGTAGCGATTCGAATACATCTCCTGGAGGACGTCCACGCTGAGCACATTGTCGTCGCGATCAGAAGGCTCAGACGCGATACCGATGTGTTCTTTCAGCTCTTCAAGATGCCTTTCGAACTCGAATGGCCCGTCTGTTACTGGTAAAAGCCGACTTTTGTTACGGACTGCCGGTGCATGTGTCTTCGCGAAGTTGTCGATCTCAAAGGCGCTGAGTGTCGTGCGGATTCCACGAAACATGACCAGCCACTCCGATCTACCGTGCTTACCGAAAGCAAGGTATTCGCCAGCCTGTGGTCCTCTCGCCCAACTGACAAAGCAAATCAGTTGGACAGACTGAAGAACCGCATCGCAGTTGGAGGGGTTGAGTTTGGCTATTTCTGGAGTGACGAGTGCTAGCGCGCATTCGTAGTGATGGTTTGCAGTAGCAATATAGGATTCTTTGCGGTCTGGCCGGCATGAAGCGAGATGGAGAGCCGTGAATGCGAAGACAAGGTGTAGCACATGCTCGTTCTTAAATGCGATTTCCTCTGTGGACGATTGTACGCGTGCAGCGCCGGCAGGCCATGCTGATAACGAGTGGCATGTAGTTGTCGTCCAGTGATACGTGAGTTCAATCTCAGATAGTGGGAGGCCGCCGGGTTGTCGTAGGCCAGCAATTTCTGGAACGATAGTAGACGTTGCTGGGTACTCGCAGCGGACTTGCCGTCGTTTACAATTGGTACAGAATGGTTTGCCCTCATCGCACTAGGTATTGCGTTAGCACGTTGAGCGTAAACTTTGTCCTTCAACGAGAGCTCGGCATGCTGTATACAAGAAACCAATTCTGCTGCCTTGTTCAAGAGAGACGTCGCAAAGATCTTCGAGATACTCAAATACTATCTAGGTACGTACCTTGATGCGACGCGTCTTGCAATGAACACATCCAGCCCGCGACTTGCGATGAGACTTCCTCGTTATCTTTGATGTTCTTGCCGTAGCTTTCCCATTTTGCTCGTATGGAGAAGTCTCCCGTGAATTTAGAAGAGACCCTCCCCTCGAAGTTGATGTGGCTTCCGTGAGTGGCGAATCTTGTTGCATGTTGGTGTTGTTGATGAAGATGTTGAGACGCCAGAGTGCGTATTCTGAGCGAGGAGCGCGTATTAAAAGAGACGGCAACCGCTAGTGGCATGCATGGATGTCATTGCTGCTAGCGTGAACCCCTTCCGCGAGGTCTGCGCAACGCCGCAAGCATCTCCAGCACAGGAAAACTCCGAAAACTGACCTGATTGACCCCTTCCCAACGCGTCACCTAATCAGGAGCCTTTTAGTAGCTAAGCCACCACGATGAGTGCAGCGGCGTTACATTGATCGTTGCTGATCCGATGCGGGTTCTTCCCTCCGATGTTGACGCTAGTGCGCCAGCTCTCGCATTCGCTCGTGTCCTCTTAGAATACGCATTTACCAGGGACGAATGTCTGGCACACCTATCTGGCTCCACTTAGCACAACTTAATTAGAAAGATAGTACCATGAAAAGCTCTTTCTCGTGCATTGTGCCGAGTTTAACCCAAACTAGCTGCGTCAGCAGTCTGAGTGCACATATAACCACAGGATGACCCGCTGCTTTGCTCCAAGTTAAGCCATCTTCACGTTTCTCTTCACGAATTCTACTCCGAAGTACCGAACACCTAATCGAGCGAAGTAATCATAATGGGTCAACCAAAGCAATCCGAACCCGTCTACAACAAGCCATCCACAATTTCTTCATCGGCCTCATCGACCCACTCGATACCATCCGTACCACCACCGCCCTACTTCAAGTCGCAGTTCATCTCCCCGTCCTCGTTCAAGTCCGCAGTAAATGCCAAACTCGACAAGCCCGCCGTATCCCTCTTCCGTCTCAGCATCCGTATCTTCCAACTCGCTTTCGCACTTGCATCGGGCATATCCTACGCCATCGAATTGAGCCATGCAACGAGTACTTCGAAGACCGACTTCATATTTGCGCAAGTCGTCTTTGGGCTTACCCTGTTGGTTCTAGTCATCGACAGTGTAACAGTACGCAACTACCGTGTCACTTGGATCCCGGAATGGATCTTGGCGGTCTTATGGATTGCCTCTTTCGGCCTCTTCTATACGATCTATTCAAGCGGGGACATCGAGCAAGGGTACCAGAATGTGGATGTGGGGCGCATGAAGAGAGCTGTGTGGTGCGACCTCATTAACGCGCTGCTGTGGATGGGAAGTGCACTGTTCTCTTCAGTAATGTGCTGCTCGGGAATCAAAGCCACTATCAAGGCAAAGATGGAGAGACGAAGACAGAGAAAGGAGGCAAGGCGGCAAGTAAGCGAGGTTAGTCAGATGGAGCAGGGCGTTATTGACGCATGATGTACAAATCACAGAGCGGGATTTAATATGAGAAGAGGACGCATATCGATTACTAGTACTAGCGAAGGACATGCATACTTGGTATATAGCAAAATCATCCAACCACCATCATTCCACGTCAATCAAAGCAGCAATTATATACACACGAGAGATCAAATCATCTACTGGGATGATCGGACCTGCTCAATGCGGACGTTGTCATCCTTCTCGTAGCCGGAAGTCATGACGTTCTTCTCAACGTGCTCAATGTCGATGTGAGCAACCTCAGCCTCATCACCATCGAAGATCTTGGCGACCTCCTCAAGAGTGGGACCACGGGTCTCGACGTAGAAGACAGTGACGAAGATGAGCTCGAGGAAGATCCAGCACTAGTTTTAATTAGTAAATAGTTCATCTTAGAGATTGTAGTTGCAAGACTTACGGCGTAGATGGTGTAGAACTTCCAGGTAGGGTGAAGGTTGTCGAATCCGAGAGGGTTGACGTATTGGTTGATGGTCAGGGCAATCTGAATGAACAAGTTCATGATCATGAGACCCTTGGCACGAATCTTGAAGGGCAGAATCTCGACAGTGTAGGCGACAAGCAGACCAGACCAAGCCAGCGCGTAAGCGACGGAGAAGATCCAGATCATGGCAATGACGGCCTGACCAGCAGCCTTGCTCTTGGTAGCCTCTTGTTGAGACGAAGCGATAGTCCAGACGATGAAGGTGACGCACATGGCTGCGGTGGCAGAGATGAAGAGTGGGCGACGACCAACGCGATCAACGAGGAGAGCGCAGGAGACGGAGACGATGAGAGAGAGAATGGTAAGACCACCGTTGATACCGAGCTGGGTGTCAGCGTCTGTGATACCAATGGATTTGTAGACATCGGTGGCGTAGTAGGAGACAAGACCGTTGCCAGACCATTGGGAGAAGAGACCGAGAGATGCGAGGAGCATGAGCCTGTACCTGTTGCCCTTGGTCTTGAAGAAATCGAAGTAGGAGGAGGTCTTCTGGTACTGGAACTCGAGGCGGAGAGTCTCCTTGATCTCAGCAAACTCGAATTGGACGGTAGCGTTGTTGGCATCGCCGTTGGCGTGGTACTTGGCAAGAATGGCAAGAGCCTCCTCGTTCCTCTCCTTGGCGATCAACCAACGTGGGGACTCAGGGATGAACCAGATAGCGGCCAACTGAATGACTGAAGGAGCAGCCTGGGTAAGAGCGGGTACACGCCAGCACCAGTCGCTCTCAATGCGCTTGGTACCGAAAGTCAACCATGTGCAGATGATGGCACCAACGTTCCACAAGCAGTTGTAGACGGCGGTGACACGAGCACGATGCTGAGGGTGGCAGAGTTCGGTAAGGAGCAGGGGAGACGAGAGTTGAGCAAGCGAGTTTCCGAAACCCATGAGGAAACGTCCACCCATGAAGTAGTCGAGGTTCTTAGCGGCGGCCTGGATGGAAGCTGCGATAATCATGATAACACACCCGAAGGTAATGCAGGCGCGACGTCCAAAGCGATCGGCAACGAAGGGAGCGACGGGAAGCGAGGCAATCGAACCGATGGAGTAAAGAGCAGTCAAGAGACCGAGAGTGTCTCCCTTTGGGTCGCCGAAGAACTCCGTCCACTTGGGCAGAATACGAAGGTTGTTCAACATGGAACTGGGGTGGGTTAGCTTTGGTCAATTGGATAACAGTAATGGGAAGACTTACCCATCGTAACCTGTGGTCGCAGAAGCGATACAGATGAAGAAGGCGTAGAAGTAGAGCTTGCGGAGACCGGCGTCGGACCTCCAGTTGACTTTCTTGAGGTGAGGAGCTTCAGCCTGAGCAGCTTCGACGTCGGACCTGCTCTTCGCAACGGCACCCATCTTGGGCGTGAACTTCTGGTAGAGACCCATGGCGTCCGACTCTTAGTCCGTAGACTGCTTGTTGAATCGAAGTAACGAGGGAATGAGCGAAGGTTGGTTTTGAAACACACAACCTTACACTGTCCTGGGCAGCAGGGTATATAAGCTGTTGACTTGTCGGGTTGGGCTGATTGCAGCTGAGCCTGGATAGATTGAACATGTTGGTGCTTCATATATATGCCTCCCAGCCTGCACGATACTATCCTCGCAGAGGACCTTGGCTCCAGAACAACGGTCTAGCGGACCGGTTAAATTCGACTGGAGAAATGTGTGGCACTCTGCGCGGATGAACCGCCGTATGGGGTAGAGTGGGCGGCAAATTGCCCAAAACGGTGGGGTCAAGGGTAGCTTGCCCAGACCCCAAGCTTCGTCTTGCCCATGAACGGATCATCTTGTTACCAGTGTCAAGTCGGCCTCGGCGCGCGGGACGGTCAGCCGTCAAGAACAACAAGAAGCCTAAGCAATGAGGCTCATTTGTCTTGTGATGGAAATGTTGGACCTGGCCTGATGGATACATACCTACAGTGCGACAAGGCCCGCCAGCCCGGTATGCCCTCGTGAAGCTCACCTGGGCAAGGACAAGCCTCCAGCCGCGACCTTGTTCCGGCTCGGCCATACAGGCTTGACACTTCCGCCAACCTTCTCGAAGGTCGTGATCAGCTGCGAGAGTGTCGCATGCTACGGTTGAATAGATTAACCAGCCACTAACCCCTTACTCTAAGCTCACGACTCCAGCGACCGAGAACGTGGGTCTGACAAGCGCATTTTCAGGGTCTCCCCATAATGATTGGGGCCAGCCTGGGGAAAACAGCAGAGCACGCGGAGCCGAGGTGATGAGGCGTGGTTGGCGGAAAGATGGAGCCGGATTTCCCCAGCCTGCTAACTCGATGATGCCCCGAACACGTGATGGATGGGAGGCACGGGCTAGCGCCGAACGGCAGAACGCTCCTTCGTTCATGGCCAATCCAGCTCAATAACACACTCCGCGGAAACTCCACATCTGCAATGCGATATCCCGCTTTTCTTCTTGCACCGTCAGCGCCTCGAGCCGTTCCCCAGAGGTTTCCCCAGACAGCTTCCCCAGAGATCAACAACAGCTAACGCGCTCCGAGGAGACCTCACGCGATACATTGCAACTGCTTCACCGGGCTCATTTAACACATCCTACCATCGTCTTATTTGATAGCACATGCTGCAAGCAGCACCATCCCTGATTAGCGTCCTGTCAACGTGATTCGGCCACCGTATAAACGGGCGGTCTCGCTTACGCCTGGGCGATGTCTGGGCCAAGCCGCCAACGGGTGGCTGGCTCTTCTTTGAATGCCAATCTTCCAACACTCTTGATCAGCCGAAGACGCCATAAGGTAGATGAGATCTAAGCATCCCGCTGCCCAGCCTGCACCGGCTGAATCACAGCAATTATTGAATGCGTTGCCTGCAGCTTCCCACGGCCCTGAACGCCCTCGACTCCTTCGCGGGATGCTCTGGCCGCTGTGCCCTTCCTTTGGAATCCACAAGAAAGGGCTTGCATGCGCGGCTGATGCGGCAATTGCTTCTTCAATGCTTGTTAGCGATCCCGAACGGGCTTTCAGCAGACTTGGCTACTCTTGCATGCCGTGCCCGCCCGCACCTAAGCAATCTTTGCCTGCGTTGGCATTCTGTCTTATCGAAAAGTCAAGTCTGACTGCATCAAAAGCAGCCATGTCCGATGCATCGCCCAGCATGGTGGGTTTGTGTACATTGAGGGCGCCTAAAGGTCGCGCAATCACATCGCTTTGTTCTGTGGGTTAACTAGCATCACGAGATGGGCAGGGTACTCTGTCGGATCACCCCAGACAATGTGCACGGAGTCAGCCCAAGTATCCACAACGCCCACCAACACCGAATCCTTTGAACCTCGCTTCCAGCCAGAGGAGCCACCAAAGCTGGGAATAGTCTACAGTAATCATGACTATGTGGTGTACCGATGCTGGTTTAGTGTACTCCGACTCCGATCATGCGCAGCCACTCAACGAGATCCCACGCTCGGACCGTCGTAGTTGTCGGGATCTCCAGCCGTTCTTTCCTCTACAGGGGCAGAAATCAATGAATGACCGTTCGAGGCGGCTGCGCGAGCACGAGATCGTTGAAGGTCCTAACCAAAGCCTCCGTCCCGTTGGCCGCCGTCGAACACCACAAGCGCCGCGCCACGAATCGACACAATTATCCTCAGAGCCTTGCCACTGGGGTATTAGGCTAAAAGGCTTCTCATCACGACTCGGTGGCTGCTCTAGTCGAGCCACTTGGTAAAACATCGCAAGAAAGCCAGTTGGGACGGTCAGTGCCGATTCGAGGTGTAATAGTTCGTCGTATGTCGTAGTGATCGGACCCAGTCCTCCATTTCTCTGGTTTAGTGGTATGTGATCGCCGTCCATGGACGTTCAGTCCTCTGTCTTTCACTCATTTGTTACTTCTAATAGACCTGAAAATAGACATGCGAAGAGACTGCCCATATCCTGGGCACAATACAAGAATAGCCTATACCAAACGGCTGCCAGCCTCCGATCTTTCATCGTATCCTGCCCCGACGCATGATATCTGACGATATCGACACGACCTTCGTACAACGGTGTATGATATGTGCCATCTGCAGATGTCCTGCGGCTTTGCTTTTTCGGCCAAGCAAGTATGCGCATCCTGCGACACATCGCAGTGCTCAGAGCATACCGTGTTCTGCGTATCAGCTGGCGCCATGTCTCGTTGTGTGTGCGCCGTTTGTATACCCGCCGAGCGTTGAGCGCGAATACGTCGGGATGCTGAGCACAACACACCCCCATATCTTGGGTGCACGCATCTCAATCAGATATGCCTCATGCTGACCGTCAGCTCGCCATTGATCTTGACAAGGAAATATGAGCTGCATTGTTCCGAGTAGGACCGCGTTCATTTCATTTCTAAACGCTGTGTCGACACCTATACGCCGGTAATCGGACCGAGAAGTAATATCATGGCCATATTTCGCTGTGTCAATTGATCGGCCTTCTGACCTTACGCACACTTTCCGGCGAATGGGTATTGTATTTGTTAACCTTTGTTGTATATGTCACAAAACTGCGAACAAGGACTACAGTCTCGGGGACCCCGTCGAATCCACGCTTTTGGGTCAGACGCCACGTCCACGAATTACAGGTTATTCGCGCACGATAGACCTTCTCAGCTATCTAAGACAGACACCAAAGCATCCGGGAACTCAGTCTTTTGCAGGACGACAAGTTGTTCTCAAGTCGAAGCAACGAGGCAAGAGGCAATGCCGAGAATAATGCTGCAAGCCACGACGGATGCTGAGGAGGAGCGTCCTTAGCCCAAACACTGTATTGGTTGGGTGCGCTTACCAACTGTGCAACTCCCATCCATTGCCTCTCCAGCTCGGTTTCCCCAATGACGAGGACAAGGTTGTATGCGCGCGCACTGTTTGTATGCGTCAATTTGCAGACAGGAAAACGAGATGCTCACTAAGTCGCAACAGCTGATCATAGGTTTCTAGTTGATGATGCATACCGACGAACGAAGCGCTCATATTACGAGACTTGCGCACACCACAGACACGGACTACAACGAACTGCAGACACGGGACTGCTGGAAGAGTTGTACCCCACCACAACTGCGTCTTAATCGTATCGCGTCCGCCAGACTGAGTGGTGTGAACAGTCATCACTATGGTAGTCGTTGATGAGCTGGGACTGTTGGAAACGATGAAACCCTTCGTTGAACGTCAGGCCTTGTGCGTATGGGCTCCAATCGAAGAGGCTACCGTGTTGCGCGTGATGGCTATGCAGGCAACAAGTGCAGGTATCGTTGAAAATGAGACAGAATCTGGACCTAGTGCCGGGCTTGCGCTCTGTCGATATGTACGGAATGGGAAACTTTCCATGGTTGACAGAGGCGTAGGGCAGGCGATGCATGCAGCATCTACCTAGGCGCACTCAATAACGAGGAAATTCTTTGCCCACCTCGTAGCTTGCCAGCAGTTTGAGGCATTGCTAAACATCATATTTATAGGTGTATATGGCTTCCGTCAGCTTTTTGGCTGTCCAGAGACGTGAAGATGTTCTGTCATCGTCTTGGTCAGCTAAAGTGGGTCCTTTCGCGTTCCGTGGACTTTCCGCGTGCACGCGCCGTCATCCTTCGCAGTGCATAGCCACACTCGCCCAATAGTCTCTTGCGCCCAGGACGTTGCGACCACGATCAGCAAAATGTGGAGCAGTAGCGGTTTGATACGAGGAAAGAAGTCTTGGGGCCGCGTCTGAATTCTTGGGTGTGCCACCGAAGGCGCGCAGTTGACGTCCTACACCATCCAACTTAGCAACAACACACTTCGGTCCCTATCTACTCCACGTTCGCTTTTCGCACACACCTTCGCTACCAGTAGACATTGCATCATCTATCGGATCATGTTTGCGAAAACAGGCCTTCTTCTACTGACTGCAGCGGCGGGAGTGGTAAGAGGCGACTTCATGGTCTACACAGAACCGCCAATTCCCACGTCCGCCATTCCAACCTTCGCCAATCCATCCGATGTACGTTGAGCGCGAACCTGGGAGTCTACCGCTGTACTGACAACTACGCAGGCCCAGAGCTGGACCACCTCCGTCTTCCTCAACGCGCAAATAGCGTACGGTCGCTTCACGGAATCCCTCGGCGAGCCCTACCAGTCCTCTCTCACGTCCGCGCGCTCCGAAATCGACGCCTTTGTCAGCACCGCCTCGAATTACAGCATTCCAGCTGAAGTCACCATGGCCGATGAGACCCCCACATACTTCTCCAAGCCAGATTGGTATACAGCCCTGCCGAGTGCGGCGAGGTCGTTCAAGGAACAACAGGTCAGCGATCAGTTCAGCATCGTGAGGAACGTCATTGCGGCGAGGGCTACCTCCACGACGGGTTCCGAGGGAGCCGCGATGCCGACTGCACTTGCTGGACAATGGCTGGGGGCTGAGTTCGGCGTCATGGCTGCGGCGGCTGCGGCCGCCTTCTTGTGAGGAACACAAGAGATTTGACCATGGGTAGATCGCATTCACACGAATAGAGTTCTAGACTGCAATTATGCCCAGGAGGCATACGTCAAGACTATGGATTATGCTATACAATGGATATATGGCGCGAAGAATGCCAATGAACGCACCTGTGCTCCCAAGGTGCAGTCAATCTGGAGTCCATCTAACATGTAATGCACTGATCAGCGTAAGCAAACCAGAGACGCAACATGCTAGCACATCGACCCAAGTTGACGTACGCCCGTCGAATCCTTCGTGAAGAACACACCAATGACGCACGTCGCTATACGCAGATGGCCCACTCATGACTACGCATTCTTGGCGACAATGGCATGCTGATCTAAGAGACAGAGACTATAAGAGTCTGTAAGAGGGCATATAGAAGACCCTAGGAGATGTGAAGCAGCCAGATTTACTCTAGCAACAAGGAGTCCATCCGTCTTTCCACAATGTCGACTTCCGAGCCAACCCACCCACCTCAATTCCGTCCCTTCTCAGTCCACGTCCACCCCATTCCTCCGACCGAAGCAAAGGCATGTGCATACGAGCGCCGCCATTCCAACTCTGCCAAGTGCAAGAACGCCTTGGTCTTTGTTGGTGGGCTGGGCACTGGTCCGCATACAACCCACTACTTAGGACCCTTGAGCGACGCCTTGGAAAGAGCGAGTCTGAAGGAGGGAACTGATGTACATTATAGTATCTGGGAGCTGAGAATGCGAAGTAGTTATACAGGGTTCGGATATGGAAGCTTGAAGGAGGATGCTGAAGACTTGAAGGTGTTGGTGCAGTATCTGAAGGAGATTGGGATGAAGAAGATTGTGTTGATGGGGAGTTCCACCGGTGAGTCTTTGCCACGGAGAGGATATACTCTTCTTCGGTTTTTGCTAGTTGCTGACGAGCAAGAAGGATGTCAGGCCATCATGACATACGCAACTACCCTGCCAGCGCCTCCCCCGGTTGACGGCTACATCATGCAAGCCCCAACTTCAGATCGCGAGACAGCGGGACTGCTCATGCCACAAGACCTCCTCTCCGCCAGCCTCAAGCACGCCGAATCTCTCATTGCCAAAGGGGAAGAAAAGACCATCATGCTGAGCTCCTTCATCCCACCAATCATTACGTCTCCGGTAACGGCATACCGCTGGCACTCTCTAGTCTCTGTGGGAGGCGACGACGACTTCTTCTCTTCCGATCTACCAGTTTCCGCTCTCCAGTCCACATTCGGCAAACTGGATAAGCCGACGTTGATACTGATGTCAGAGAAGGACGAGATGGTACCTTCCACCGTGGATAAGGAGGCTTTGCTGAAGAGATGGGTTGATACGATTCCAGATGGTTTGGCGAGTAAGCAGTGTCAGGTCATTCCATTCGATGCTGACCATGAGCTCTCTGGTGGTCAAGCAATGCGGTACTTCATCGAGACGGTTGTCAAATTTCTCGAGGGAATTGATGCGGCATCAGTTGGACAATCATGAAGATAGTCACATTGATAAATGTTGTCTCGAGATCTCTCTTCGCTAAAGCACAACACCACTCATTTCACCCTTGCTTCTCGTCATGGTCAAAATGACGTCAGTGGCCCATCTGCACTCCACCCACTCATCGCACCTTCCCGTCGCGCATGTGCATGCGCAATCTAGCGACCCCGCTATGTCATGCATCCAGGCTTCCAGGTTTCTGGTTCAACAAATACACTATTTAATCGCTAATATCTAGTCTATGTTCTTTCTTTTGACGGTACCCAGGGCGAATACCTACAGCGCCACGAACTAGCTACTTCCGACGGCAACGCTACCGCCCAAGATGGGTATACCGTACTCCCGCCAAATCAACGCTGCATTCGAACAAGTCACGCCTCTTGTTGCGGCGGGTTTCAAGGTTCTCCGTACAACACGCGATATCTCGATCTTGCTTGCGGTCATCCAAGTCCTTACCGTTATCCTCTTGGGCTTCATACTCGTTGCGCTCGTCCTGCTTTTATATTGTGTGAATCCCGATTTGGAGGTTCGTCTTTTTCCTACACAATATCGGAGACGATGATGTTCGATGCTGATACCACACAGGAGGAAAGAAAAGCTATCGTAACGCCATGGCTCCGGTACTTCGCTAGTATAACGTTATGGTCGATATTCAAGACTTTGTTCTCGATGGTATTCGTGATGGGGCTTGCAGCGGCAGCGACATGGCACTTTTTCGTGGCGAAGCAGTGGGTGGAGGATGTGGAGTACGACGCCAATGTCGATGCTGACAAGGCGTTGTCGGATTTGGATGGAGAAGGAGCAGGAGAAAGTGGAGGAAATGGGGGCAAAAAAGGGAAAGGTAAGGGGAAGAAGTAAGCAGAAAGTGCATTGGAAGTAGCATTAGTGTGATTTGTCAAGACGCCCGGTGTTAATAAGAAGACTACGCAGGACTTATTTGACTACCGTAAACATTACCTGTACGACAATGAACACAATACTCGCCGGTATGTCTCCAAAAGCTACATCTGGATGTAGCTACTACTGCTACTGCGTCTATTCCAGCCCGTTCTGACCTCAATATTTGAGTATGCAGGCTATGGATGTAGCTTACAACACCCTCTTCCTCGCACTAAACCCCTCACTATCAAGCAACAACAGCGCAAACAAGCCTCCCATAACCGGCCTAGCCTTGAAGTCAATACCAGGAGGCTGCGTCCCATCATTCGTCTGATAGAGATCGGTAAAAGGATGGGAGTTAGGCGTCTCATTCACCCATTTCGCCAAATCCCCGATAAACATATCCCTCGTCTCCTTACTCGCTACCGCAGCACAGAAGATCTCCCAGTCGGACTTTGTGTAGTAACGGTTCCGCGTGTCGAGGGGTACGCCATACTTTTCCTTGATGGTGGGGTAGAAGGCAGATTGTATATCGTAGATTTCCTGGGGCACGAGGTTGAGCCCGAGGAGACGATCGTTGTAGAGATTGTATAGCAGACCGTGAGTGGTTTCGTTTCCGTAGTTGAGAATAGAGTGAGGCGGGTTGTCGGCCTTGTTGATGCCTAGGTCGATCCAACGGGTGATGTAGTCGTGGGCGATGGCGGTGTAGTTGTCTGCGTCTGCTGTTTCGCCGATGATGCGCGCCATCTGGGACATGGCTTCAAGCCCGATGATGCCTTTGAGTGCGAGGTTGGTTTGGTTGGCGAGTGCGCCGGCGAAGTCGTCGGTAGAGAGTTGATCGGCTGGGAGGAGACTTTCTTCTACAAGATATTCGGTCCATTGCTTGAGGATGGGGTAGTGTTGGGTGATGTAGTCGGTGTTGCCAGATAACTGGACGTATGCGAGCATCATGAACATGTGGTTTCCGCATTCTTCCAGAGGCATATGTTCGTCCAGACCATCTGGGTGGCCGGTAGCGTTGGGGTAGTGCGCTCCCAGGTCATGAATAGCGAACTTGTTTGGATAGTGCCCACTCTCCTGGTTCTCGAAGTGCGGGTCAAGCAACAGCTTGACTAACTCTGGGTTGGTGTAGTAGAAGATCGGGGTGGCGGGGTAGATGACGTCCACAGTCTGCATGTTTCCGTTGGATGAGATTTCCTTGAGAAAGAGGTAATGCTTGTCCTGAGTGCCGACAAGCTGAGTGGCACCGAAAGCCTGACGAGCAGCTAAGCTAGTCAGTATAGCGTAATCATCCCCTGCAGCTGCTTTGGAATCCTTGGAGATCTTGTCGTCGAGCTCCGTAGAGAGTCTGTTGGACTCCTGGTAGTCTTTATAGAAGAAAGAAAGGGCGGCGAGATCGTCTTGGAAGTAACTTTTCCAAAGTGATGGCACGTTATTGAGGCCGTCGGCGCCTAGAAACTGTATAGCATCGTCTTGACATAGACCGATAGTGTACAGCTGGCTCTTCACGTCAGAACCGACGGAACCCATGTTTAGAGCGTATCCAAACACTGGCCACTCAGCGTTAATTGGTCGAAATTCGGAGTCTTCCGCGTTGTCGAGGCTTCCATCATTGTCAAAGGCATCGCGGACTTCAGAGTCTGCGCCGGACTTGTGCGTAAGACCCTCGACTGCTTCTGTGGAATAATACTGCTGTAGTCAGATAATGGTTCGATGCCTTTTGGTGGACTACTTACCCAATTACCCCACTCTGCGCGGTCGTTGACCTCACTCAAAGACTGTTGGTTTTGCTTCCAGATCTTGTGATAGCCGATACCATCTGATGTAGTACCGTAACTCCACTCAGCTACAGCAGCGACATCACCAGACGTCCATTCTATTTGCATGTCAATTCAAGCACACGTTTGAAAGGGAGCTAGATATGCTTACCAGCACTGATATCTGTGTAGATCTGCACATCATGTTGAGAGCCGTCTAGAGACGAGACCTCGACGTTCATGTACGAGAAGATGAGAGATTGACGCTTAAAGTCATTTGGAGTTAGTGGTGACATGAATGTAACCTTCAGCTGAACCGTATCGCCTGCGGTGATGGTGAAGATGCTCTTGGTCGACGTGTACTCGTATGATGTCTGATTCGCGAAATCGCTGTAGCCGTCGGGTTTCCCCATCCACACAAAGGTATTGCCATCGACTTTGACCATTCCAGTCCATCCTAGAATCTGACCACTGCTTGGTGTCAATATGTATCCAACACATAGCGTCGAGAGGGAGCTTACGTCCAGAATGATGGCCACTGGCCTGGAAGATAACCTCCATTTCCTCCATCACCACCGGCAGGGAACCATGTGCTCAGATATGGACTCTTGACGGCCAGTGGTAGAGAGGGTGGTCGAGCTGGAGTGAAGGTCGAGCTAGATTGTGCAGCAGCAGTAGTAAGAAAGAAGGTGCACAGCACACTAAGAATGGAAAGATACATCTTCAAGGATGCAAAATATTGATACCGGGCATGCGCGCAAACTTAGAATGAGACGGAATATGAAGGTTATATAGACACGAAATCCCGAGTCGATCTTCCGTTGGTATTACCACGTGCTCCCTGCAGCTAGCAATGAAAGATGCAGGCACCGGTGCGTGAAAATGGCCATTTCGTTTGTCGAAGGGGCCGTGATGTTTGTTGACAGCTCTACGGTCAGCACTAGCTTGGATTTAACGTTCAAGTGACGATACAAATGTCAGGAAGAGTTACGGGCGAACCTAAACAGCATGGGCGTAGCACCGAACCTTTTTAATATTACACCACGTGGGGAAACTTTAGTGTCACCTTACATTGTAGGCAAAAAGTCCATGAAGCTCACTGACAAGGCTTTTTATCGGTGGCCAAGACTCTTGGTTACTTTGGGATATGCAGTGGTTGACCGCATCCGCAGAGGTACGCCTGACGTGCATCATAAGGTTATGCCAGGCTAGCTAGCGTCTGTGAGTACAAGGCTGATCAGTCCTCGAGACATGATTTCGGATTCCTGCTAATCAGTCGGCGAAATCAGGCGACCTTTTTCTATTGCACTCCACGAGCGTCAAAACGAGGCCTTGCCTGATTTGGTAAAGCATCCACCACGCGCAATTAAGGCGCTAAACAACGGTTTGCTTCCAGGACGGCAGGAGTGGCGACGTGAGTTGGCGCTGGCAGATTCACGATCCTCGTGATGCGACTGCTGCGGTGTTGATGAGCGACGGAGCACCGGTGTCCAGTAGTAGAGAGTGCGAGTGACGTTGAACCGCGGGTTTGGAAGGAGTGGTACTTACAGTACACGAGCGCACTGCTAGCGTTGTAACCGTTTGGATAGGGAAGGAGCTAAAGCACTCGCAGCGCAAAATCATATGTGGGTGTGAGATACCCGAGCAGAGCCAGCCACGATAGCGCAACGCCGTCCGTGCTTGAAGCAAAATGTGTGGATGCGACGGAACGTGTGGGTGTCGTACTGCGGGGAAGGCGTGCGCGGATCCGGAAAGTGCCATCGACATGCTTGCAGGTTCTGTATCTGGGGTTACCACCGGTCCAACGCAGTAGCACGAAGACCACGACTGTAGGTCTTTTGGACAACGTTGCCACGTTGTGTGCGTTAGTTGTCAAGTACCATGTGAGCACAACGATCATGAGGCAGACAAGGCTTGTGAGTAGTGACAATACATTGCAGAAAGCTCATCATAATATGAGGTTGTATAAGCCGCTGATAGTCGCCGCGGGCATGACAGATAATGGAGTCTGTGGTGAAAACCACGCTCATCTGGCAGCCAAGTAAAGTACAATGCATCATAAGACCATCCATCCTTTGACCCAACTATTGATAAGAAAACGCCGGGAAGACTAGGACCATGAGTGGAATAATAGTGCAGGGTATCCAAAAGCCAACGGAAGTGACTGAATCGCAGAATGCCGGATGATAAGCGAACACCAAGTATGAGCAAGAAAAAACGCAATGCAAACCGGGTATCCAAGGCCTGTCCAACACCAAACGTAACTCGTACAAGGAAAATCATCAGCTCATGACTCTGCAACCCAAGAGCGAGCCACGTGCTCGAAGCGTTGCTCGCAGTCGCGCAACAATGCGCACTCCAGGATATCATGGACATTCCAGCGCTTTTCAACGTCAGCCTCAAGGCAGCCCCTGACTAATGCGAGGGCATCGTCGATGTTGCCTGCTTGGGCCGACTCTGCGTTACGTATGAGATCCGCGTCCCATTCGCAATTTTTGATCTTCTCAATGGTCTTGATATCGAGGCCGTCATTGAAAGGTAGAGTCGCGGTGAGTAAAGCGAAAACAACTACACCAAACGCCCAGATGTCCGCCGCAGGTGAGAATACAGGTCCAGGTGTATTGAACAACTCAGGAGCCGCATACTGTAGGCTACCAGCGATAGAAGTACTAGTCTCCGCGGGGCCTATGTTCTGGTTGTCACCGATCGAGTGTGGCTCGGGACCATCGCGCTGGTCGCTGACAATGAAGTCTGCCATGCCGAAATCGCAAAGGAGAAGATCGCCGCCGTCTTTTTCAGCGTCGCTTACGGTCATGTCGAGAAGACAGTTCTCGAGCTTGATGTCGCGATGTACAACCTGGACGTCGTTGTGCAGGTAGCGCATGGCTGACGCCAGCTGATAGGCATAGCGCTTCACCAAGTGAGCTGGTAGTCCGCTCTTCTTCTGGCGGCGTGTGTCGCGGATCAGGTCGAAGAGAGTCCCGCCCTTGTTCAGCCTGGTGATGCAGAAAGTGGCATAGTCGGTGGTGTATACCCTGAGGAGGGGAAGAATATAGGGGTGCCGTAGGAAGCGCCAGATCTCCACCTCATGGTCGAACTGCGTCTGGATCTGTTCGTTCTCAATTTCAGACTTGTCCTGTTGCAGCCTGCGCACAATCTTGACAGCATCGATGACAGGTTTGCCGTTCTCCATGCTTGTGACCTCCTTCACGACGCTGAAGCCACCATAGCCAATCTGTTTTCCAATAATGTACTCGCTGTCATAGCCAATGCCTTGGCCTTCGTCGTCTGGCTCGGGCGCCTTGATTGGGGCCTCGGACGCCTTGTAACGCGCCAGGAAAGAGGCAGCCGGCGACATGGACGACAGAGAACGGCCCGAACGGGCAGACGATCGACGGCTAGTCCTCTTCAGACTGCCATCTTCGCCAATCTCCGATCGCCAGCTCTTGGTCCGAGGTGGGCCGCCGCGGCGCGGAGAGGGCGAGAAGAGGGGAAACTCCATGGGGGAGGTGGCAGGCATTGGCGAGAGCATGTACTCGGACGGCGCCTCGAGGGGCGTTTGCGCCTCGTCTAGCGGCGGCGAAGCGGTAGCATCAGACGTCAAGGATGCGACTTGGTCGCGGTACTCGGAGTCGTTGGCCAGGTCGTCTACGGTGGACTGGGCGAGTGGGTATCGGGACTCTCCAACGCGGTACTGCATGTTGCGGCGCATGGTGTAGGGCATCTCCATGTAGTCTTGCTGCGAACCATCCGAGTAGCTTCCATTCTCGGGTGTGCGTGAATGCGACTGCCGTGAAGACTTGGGCACGGGCACGCCCAGGCCGACGCCCTCTCCCGTGTCGAGCCGGACTTCATTGTTGAAGCTGATGCTCGTCTTTCGCTGCCTGAATTTGGCTACAAAATCCTCGTCACTTCCGCTGCTGCCTACAGCCAGGGAGCCCTCATCGTCGGACTCGGCGCGCAAGTCGGCGCCATGGTGGTCACGCGCAGGGAAAGAGGCGCGCGAGATGTTCTGCGGTTCTGCAGCAGCGAATTCGGCGGTTAGCTGGGACTGGCCATGGTGGTTGTGCGGGGACTGTTTACGGGCTAGAGGCGCGAAAGATGCAAAGGTGGAAGCGACGGGTTTGTGGGGTGTCGAGGTGTCGAGTTTGAGCTTCTGGAAAGTGTGTGAGGGTTCTGAAATTGGGGCCATTAAACCGGTTCACAGTGAGAGCAAACCTCTTTTTACACCGGCGAGCGGGTGTATTATGTGTGCGGCGATCGTGGGGTGAGTCGCGCGGCGAAGGGCGAAACCGGGAAGTAAAGTAATAAGATTATGTTCGGGCTTGGTGACAGCGGAGTGCTAGCGGAACGAGGAAATTGCACGCGCGCCGAGCCACGGTATGCCTGGGGAAATTGCTCGGGGTGGCAATTGATTGATGGATCTGGGGTGTAGTTGATTGAGGAGAAGGGCAGAAGTGGGAAAGGAGGGCATAGTTCTTTGTCCAGAATATTGCTTCTGGTCCTCCGCTCGGAGCCTCCCCCACGCATGTTGTTAATAGGCGGCCGTCAGCGGAGGCGCGGGCGCAGAGGCACGTGAGCGGCCGTGAACCAGCCATGCAGTTATGCGCGCCTATGGGACGCGTTCGCAGGGTAATCTGCTGCTTTTGCGCATAGCGAGTGGGTGCTCGGTGAAGATTCTGGGCAGTCTAGCGTGGTAGGTGTGCTGGATGATCCATGGGATAGCAGATAGCCAAGCAGCCGTCGCCGCATCGCGACGGGTAGAGGGCGAGGAGAGCGGCTACCCCGCACAGAGGCTCTGCAGCGAGCTGCGCAGCACCATGGCTTCATTCATGAGGTTTGGCAGGCGGTGATAACAGTGACAGAGGACGTGGGGCGCGTCCGACAGATGGCCTGCATGGCGGGCCGCTAGACCGTACATGACGCCGGGCGTTGCAAAGGCGAATAGGGCAGCATGAGGGCCATAATTGTGACCTGGCCGGCGCATTGTTGGTTGTACACGTCAAACGGCCGAAACATGACGTTGCGGCCGCCGTGAAGCTCGACGCGGTTGGCTCGTCACGGCGACCAGCAAGAGGCACTGCCCGGGGTCCCTGTCTGCATCGCTGGACCCTTCAAGCCGCGCCGACTTGACCGAGTTGACGATAGCGGAGGCAGGGAAGCTTGAAATGCACATATACATCATCTTATAGGACTGCTGGGATCGTTGCGATAGGGCCTTGGAAGAGCGCGAACGCCCGCGCAGCTGCTCGAGGGTCGCATCGCAGCCAGAATACACACTGCACACACGCATCCACGCGGCTCTCTGCTGTCAAATCGAAGTCGTCTTCACGTGAAGCTGGCTAGCTCGACGCTTGTTGACTGACTGCATGCACGGGCGACGCTGCCGCCCGCCTAGCACACCTCCAAGTTCCATCTGCCAAGCTCGATTCAACACCCTGGGGCGGGTGACAACATCACCAAGCTCATCAACCCATCGCACCGGCCCAACCTGTCTCCCGTCGCCAGCTGCACGCATTCTTCACTGCGCCACCGCATTGTTGGCTGAACCTGCAGACCCGACACCAGCTTCACTCGGCCGGACTGCGACCGTCTGCGCCTCCAGCCATGGGCGTCTCCGACCTCTGCTACCGATTCTTCTGCTGCGGCGGTCAGTCGACCCAAATCTTCGCCGTGGGAGTTTGCTGACAAAATCTGACAGGCCGCTCGAGAGACAGCATATATGACCCAGTGCTGGCCGACAGCGAGCGGGAAGCTGTTGCCGACCTGCTGGGCTTCCTCGAGAACGTACGCTGCCCACCGCCTCTGCTGCAGCTGCTCCATGCTAACTTGCGCAGCGAGCCGAGACCGACTTCTTTTCTGGCGAACCCCTCCGTGCGCTGAGTACGCTGGTATACTCGGACAACATCGATCTCCAGCGGTCCGCAAGCTTGACATTTGCCGAGATAACAGAGCGAGGTACATGACCCGGCACCACACCTACATGCAGCATCTAACACCATCCGTCTAGATGTCAGAGAGGTCGACCGAGACACCCTGGAGCCTATTCTGTTCCTGCTCCAGAACCCCGACATCGAAGTGCAGCGTGCAGCGAGTGCCGCCCTGGGCAATCTGGCGGTAAACAGTACGTTCACACCCTACATCATCGACGCGATGACTAACTATCGCAGCCGAGAACAAGGTAGCCATTGTCGCACTGGGAGGCCTTGCGCCATTGATCAAGCAGATGAACTCGCCCAACGTCGAGGTGCAATGTAACGCCGTCGGGTGCATCACCAACTTGGCGACACACGAAGACAACAAAGCGAAGATCGCTCGCTCCGGCGCACTGCAGCCTCTCACAAGACTAGCAAAGTCCAAAGACATGCGCGTGCAGAGGAATGCCACCGGCGCGCTGTTGAACATGACGCATTCAGGTAAGATGCTCGCAGTGTTTCATCATGCTTTGCACTGACACAGTACCAGACGACAACCGACAACAGCTCGTGAACGCTGGCGCTATTCCCGTCCTCGTCCAGCTGCTATCCTCGTCCGATGTCGATGTCCAGTACTACTGCACCACAGCCCTCAGCAATATCGCTGTCGATGCAAGCAACCGCGCCAAGCTGGCACAGACTGAGGGCAGGCTGGTTGGCTCCTTGGTACACCTCATGGAGTCGTCCTCGCCCAAGGTGCAGTGCCAGGCTGCACTCGCTCTCCGTAACCTAGCATCGGACGAACGCTACCAGCTCGAAATTGTGCGCGCTCGTGGTCTACCCTCCCTCCTCCGCCTGTTGCAATCGTCCTACCTACCGCTTATCCTATCCGCCGTCGCATGCATACGAAACATCTCCATCCACCCTGCCAACGAATCGCCCATCATCGAAGCTGGCTTCCTCAAGCCCCTGGTAGATCTGCTCGGCTCCACCGATAACGACGAGATCCAGTGCCACGCAATCTCCACCCTGCGCAACCTCGCGGCAAGCTCAGACAAGAACAAGCAATTGGTTTTGGAGGCGGGTGCCGTGCAGAAATGCAAGTCGCTCGTGCTCAACGTGCGACTCCCGGTTCAGTCTGAGATGACGGCAGCAATTGCCGTTCTTGCCCTTAGTGAGGAGCTTAAGCCCCATCTACTCAACCTGGGCGTCTTCGATGTACTCATTCCACTCACCGAGTCAGAGAGCATCGAGGTTCAAGGCAACAGCGCGGCCGCTCTGGGAAACCTCTCTTCCAAGGGTAAGTCTAACTCGTCGCTACTACAATCATCGCTAACAAGTACAGTGGGTGATTACTCGATATTCATCCAGAACTGGACGGAACCCGCAGGCGGAATCCACGGTTACCTCCGCCGCTTCTTGGCGAGCGGAGACCCAACCTTCCAGCACATCGCGATCTGGACACTGCTGCAGCTACTCGAATCGGAAGACCAACAGCTGATGGAGCACATTGGCAAATCGAACGAAATCATCGACATGGTGACCGAGATTGCCGAGCGCAACATCGAATCGGACGATGAGGACAACGAAGACGGCGAGGGCGAAGTCGTCACCCTCGCACGCAGATGTCTTGAGCTGCTTGGCAAGAGCCCCAAAACTCTCGTCGAAGGATAGAGAAGAGTTGGATCGCATCTTATACCCTGTTTATCGGTTGTTCATCGCGTTGGCACTCTTGCTCGTATCCGCCATATTCCGGTTCTCTGCTAATGCGTTCATGTTACACACTGCTTTTGGGCATCTTGGAGGCTGGCGTTCAGGGAGCACAATCATCCTCAGTATCTCTAGCGAGCATTGGCGGAGCGGGCTTTTTACATACATTGGCATGCACATAACTTACCACTACTCTTACCTGAGCATTCGACGCGGACAAATTTGTAATTGATAGAGTTGGATCGAGGCTTCGGTCGTCAGGAAATGAATTAGATGATGTTCCGAGACTCGTAGCCTTTGGTGATGATATGCTTCTTCGACTATGACTATGTGACAGGGCCCGTTGTAAAGTGAATAGTGAAAGGCGAGAGCATCCGCTTATGCGCCGACAGATCTATGCCAGAGACTAGTCGAGGCCCCTCACCTAGACATGTGACGTCGCGTTGGAGCTAACGAGTTATCGATAGCCAAAATATTTGTGACTCTCAGCGTTGCGCGAGTCACCACGCACCACCCTCTAACAACACTCGTACAACAGCAATGCCGCCAAAACCAAGAGGACGGGGAGCTAGTCGCGCTCGCGGCAGCGCAAGAGGAGGAGCAGTAGCAGGGCGAGCCACGACTGGCGCGAGCGAATCCACGGATGCGACCCCGCAAAGCACAGCTCCCGCAGACGCCTCGGAAGCTGCTGCTGAGCCTGTGGTTCCCAAGCAAGAAGACGGCGATGCGAAACCAGTCATTAGTGGTGATGGCGCGTCGGCAGCCATGGAGTCGCAAGCCTCTGAGGCGCCTTCAACGACTGCATCGTATGCTCTATTCCCCCATTCACCCTGACGGCAGTACTGATATATGTACAACAGGGCTGTCGCGTCACCCCAGCCTAGCGCAGAACCAACCACCCGCGCTCCAGTGCAAAGACTCGGCAGTCTCCAGGGCTCGGTGCCTCCTTCGCGATCTGCATCACCGTCTGTACGCGGCCGCGGCGGCACAACTCGAGGGAAGAGGGGCGTCAAAACCCCCGCCTTTACCGGACGAAGGAGCAAGGAAGAGCGAGATGCTATTGCAAAGGAATTGGCTGCCCGCGACCGAGAAAGGACAAAGGAGCAGGTTGCAGCGGAAGCTAGGAAGCAGGCGGACGCAACAAGGGCAGCAAGACGAGAAGCCAGCAAGCTGAAAAACGCCAGAGGTGGATTCAGTGGTGTTGCCAGTGGACCATTCTCGTTAGGCAGCTCCAAGGAAGGCATGTCACTCGCTCTGGCAATGGTTCTACGTACTGACCTTGACTAGACAGGAAGAACAACCCGAATCGCGGATACTCTGGTTTCGGATCAGGATCAGGCTCACGAGCAGAGCGCGTCAAGAACGAGGACGGCAGCTATGGAGGCTCCGGTTCCCGATCGGGTGGAGGCGGCGGTGGCGGAGGAGGAAGTGGAGGCGGTCCATCTATCAAGAGAGAAGACGGCGGCCTTGTGTCGTCTGATGAAGAAGACGAGGCTGATGTGCCGCGCAAGGACATCGACTTGATCGAAATCTCCTCTGACGAAGACGAAAGCAAGCCCAAAAGCGC